ATCTGAAGCAAGGAGCATTCATTTAGGGTAGGGAGGCTTGGACTTATTACTTGCACAAGCACCACATTAGCCCTGATGGGCTGAACAGGGTTGAGTAGCTGTTGTGTGGCTGAGTTTGGCCTCTTCTGTAGTCCCTGGTAGTCCCTGGCATTGCCTCTGTGTGTGTTGGGTTCATTCCTGCTCCCCTCGCCCATGGGCCACAGAAGTGCCTAAAAACTGGAGCCTCCCGCCACCAGGGAGGCGGAAAGAGGTGATTTTGTGAGGAGGACACAAGGAGCACAGGAGATAACGGAGCCTTAGTTGCTACAGGGTTGTATCTCAATGGGGTGAGGAAGGAGGAACATAATCAAGGACTTGGTCCTCCCCGGTCTGCTGATGCTGCCACGTCGGCAGCGTGGAAGGGGCTGGTAGCCCTTGTAGCGAGTGCACAGCTCGTGTTCTGCTGCAACGGGGTGACAGCCGTAGCCCTGGGGACCTCTGCTCTCTTCTTTTCCCTTTGCAACCCAGCGTTATTGGATCAAGGACGACGGGTGAAACAAAAGTCAGTGTGCGATGGATCTTTGAGGGGTGCCTGCTTCAAATGCCCTATGCAAAGCAAGGCCAGCTGCAAACTTAAACCCAACTTCTGAGTTAGATCAAGTCACTTAGTTTTGAGTCCTTCCAAGGACAGAGACTTTTCCGCCTCTCTGGGAAGTTTGTTCCAACACAGGCTGGTCGGGGCTCAGTCCAGGAAGCAGTTTGCTGTATCACAAGAACATCTGGCTCTAATTTCTTGACTTTTCTGCATGTAAAAGTGGGTGTTGGCATGTGAGATGCAATAGCATTGGTAAGGAAGACTATATCGTGAGGCAAATGCAATTCCTTTGCCAAGAGGAGACCAGAAAACAGTCCTGGGTGGGAGGGAAGGCACCAGTTTTATTCTRAGTTTGGTGCAACACTTCTAACAGTCACTGCCAGAGGAAAAGACAGAGGTGTTGCTCAGTTTGGGGGCATTTTTTTGGCCACAATTGAGACATGAGGGCTSCAATTAGCTCTGTTAGGGCTGTAGACTTGATTTTCTCTCTCCTCATTGAGCACTGGGACCTGTATCTCTCTTTTGGACGCATCTCCCCCTCTCTTGGCTCCCGACGGAGAGAGCCAAAGGCAACAAGCTTCCTAGCCCTGACACCTCAGATAGGTGTGAAGATGGATGGGTTGAACGCAGGCCTAAAACATTCTGCAGTTTTGCTGAAGTTTCACAGCCCTGGCATTGTGAAATGATCTTTCAATATGCTTGGAAGAAGAGGGAGAAGAACTTTCATTTTGACATCTACTTGATGCAGATTCTGGCTTGCTTTGTGTTCGTGTACTTGCAAACTGTCTCTGCCTACACATCTCGCAGGGTTTGTGCCTGTGGGGCTGGGTACAGGGAAATGAGTGTTTCTGTGGATGCTCTGCCCGCTCCATTCCCCTCGGGAAGTTTGGAGGCTTCTCCCCACCTCCAGCTGCATCAGATGCCGCCTGTCCTCTGGTGACCGGCCCCAAGTTAGGAACTCAGCGATAGGAAACACAAGGCAGGTTATGAATTTGAACAGAAACAAGAGATTAAGGAAAGCAGCTGGGAACCCTAATTTTGCTGATTTTGAAGGCTAATATTGGCCACAGATRTGCTCCCACCAACAGAATCTGGCCRGACAAGGAAAAGACATCAGCAGTGCTCAGACTTTTTGATCAGAGGTAGATTTAGCTCTTGGGCATCGAGACAAGAAAGAAACGAGATGAAGTAGGAATAAAAACATAATCAAGAGATTAGGAAAGTAGAACTCAATTCACCCATAAATTTGCCTTAGGGAGGGATGAAAAAAATGTACTAGCACCAAATTGCTGCATCTTCCTCCCTCCCTTCCCCTTGCTTCCCTCACTGTTTTATTCCTTCCCTCACAGAGCCTTCCCTCTTCCTCCATGGTGCTTTTTTCTTTGYAAACTGCCCTGTTCCTCCCTCTCCTTTTCCCTCCAGAGTACATAACAAATCCTTGCTAAAGACAGACTGACTTTGGAGCCTAAGCAAAGCATCAGCCTGGTGGGCAAGGCCACGCCGATGGGCAAGCATGCAGGGGAGTGCAGGATGTGTTCCTGCCCACYCTCACTGCGAGAGAAGAGCTGCTATTCACTTATATTTAGCCTATCATGAAATATTAAATCTATTTTCAATGAAATTAATGATGGACTAATAAGAACCGTGGTGCTAGCGCTCATATGCCGTCGATTAGCTTGTGACTTGGTCTCCCAGGGGACATGGTAGAAGGGCTGTTGTTTGAGGCATTGAAAAATGAATGAAAACGAAGTAGACAAAGTGGAGTCTCCTTCTCTGGTGGCCTTCCAAACCCACCTGSATGCCACCCTGTGCTCTGGGTGTCCCTGCTGGAGCAGGGGCTTGGACTAGGTGATCTCTAGATCACCTTCCAACCTCAACCATCCTGTGTTTCTGTGAAACTGCTGCAGTGGCCGGGAGGAGAGAACCCTATTGACAGGGGAGGCCTGATTTTCACCCGGTTGTGCCATCTCTTTGGAGGTTGTTATTGGGGAAGCTGCAGGAGACAGTCACAGMGTCTGGCCCACGTCCCTGCGTTTGTTAAAGTAGATGGCAGTGCTCACTCCCCATCACTTGGGTGAACCTCAGAGTTGGGTTGGAATTAGCTTTTCTCAGTCTTAAAGAAAATACATTTTGTACTTGCTGGTGTTCGAAGTCCATTATCAGTGTCAACAAAAATCGGTCTTTTCCCATGGGGGGAAAAAAAAATAAAAAGTMTCCAATCTTTCACTCATGCAGAAGAAAACAACCCCAAAGCATTCAAGGATTAAATGAGAAATATGCCGCTTTTCACTGGGGATCCACTGGCCGTGAGTAAGTGCCAACTGAGCTCTCGCTTGCATCGCCATCTGCTACAGTGCACCAAGGCCTAGAGGTGCAGCAGGACGTGTTAGTGTCCCAGCCTCTGACAGCATCTCTGCTCCTGGTGATTGAACCACCAGAGGCTCCTAAACGGCAGCAGATTTGCGAAGGCGAAGGGCTTTGCTATCTTTAGCTGAGCTAAYGCCAAGACACCAACTGTCCAGCTGCAACGAAGCTCACAGCTTGCGTGTGGAGGGAGGCAGCCCTCACCTCCTTGAGTGGGAGATGCATCCACCAGCGAGGGGAAAGGGAGGTTTCAGGAGGTGAGGGCTGGGGCTTCATCGCTGCRCTGTGGATTTGCATCACTGACACAGCTCTCCATGGTGATTTGATGGTGATTTGGTGACTTGATCACCAACTGTGAGCTGGAGAAAATGCCCCCAAAGGTCTTAAACCTTGCTGGCTTCTTTGTAAGGCACATGGCAAATCGGACTCTGGTTTGAGGACATGAGAGCCAAGCAGGTGAACAAGAGCTTGCCCAGCACCAGCTCCCYGGTATAGGTGTCTGGGTGCTCCATTCTGCACTTAGGGGCAGGTAAATCCAATGTCTAACCAAAAAAAATGGGTAATGTTTAGCTAAATAACGTGTTTCTACCGATCCTAGCAGCAGGAGTGCGTAAGGCATCGGGCTTTACTTCCTCTTCCATCATCCCTTCCATCATCATCTCTTCTTTTGGCGTTGGTTAGTTTGAGAATTCCAATGCAGTGCAAGAGATTTTGCCAAAGATACTAAAATTAATCTYGCTGGGCCACAACTATGTGTTGATGTTGCTGTGAAGAGCACAGCACAGAGCCCCATGAGTTATGTCTAGAGACTGCTTGTGGTTTTGGAGCTCTTGCTGATGAATTGCCCAGCATCTGGTCACACTGTGAGGGTTACGCTTATTATTCTCAACTGCTACGCTGCATGGAAGGAAAATCAAAATAGTTTCCTCAAGGTAAATGGCTCTAAAAGCAATTGAAGAATTTTCCACAAGGTTGTAATGCAAATGACTGGGCTTTTGTGTAGTTTGTAGCTCTAAAGATATGTTTTTGCCATCAGATCCTTCTTTTGTGAGAAAGAAAAGCAAAACTTYGCTGGCAAGAAAGGCGGATTTCACTGTTTCAGGCAATGTAATACACATGGAACATGACTTTGCACTCATCGGAGGTGGAAAGTTTGCCTAACGTCAGCATCATCRCTTTGATGTAGCTGTTCCCGGTGTGAAGTAGCTGGGTAGGACTGGGACACATCTGCAAACCTTGGGCCGTGCCAAGGGATGCGTCAGCACTGCAGCCCCCCTCTATATTCCCGGGGAACCTCTGTGTTTCTGATTGCCAAAAGGCGTGTGGGTTTAACCAGGAAAGGGAGCAGTCTCTTCTTGCTCGCTCCATATACTTTTACTTCACCATTTTTTGCTGACTGCTGGCCAAGCGTGGAGCCGGGGRAGCTTTTCCCTGAACACAAAAGCTGCTCTTATGCTGTGGTTGAAATTATGAGATGAAATGTTGTAATCTCCCTGCCTGGCTCAAGGCATGTGGATTGGAGGAATTATCATTAGGAACAGGCCTAGATTGAAAAAGTGGGGAAACGCTCGCTGTTTATTTAGGGCTGGAGCAGCTGTTTATGGGTAAAAGTCCATATAAACGGATGCAGATCCCTTTATAAGGATATGAAGATGTGGATTCAGACAGTCACAATCAAAAAGAAATCTTGATTTGGCCCCTACTGGTACAGATGCCACCGACTGCATTGGGAATAATACCAAACACCAAGGGCAAAAAGCCCCCCTGGCTTTGCTGCTCACCCAGCTGCCTGCCAGGGCAGTACAGGAGCACCAGGAAACTGCATCCACAAGCTATGTTGCCGTACAAAGCAAGGTGTCACCTCCTCCTGCTGCTGTCAGCAAACAGGCAAACCCTTGYTCCCGTCCGTGGAGTGCAGCCCGTGAGCCCCGCACAGCGGCTCTGCAAGCAGAGCTCTGTCCCCAGCCCCAACAGCAAAGTAACCCAGCATTTTAGGAGCCACTTTGGTTAGCAAGCCTGAATGCAACCTCCTAACGCAAAGCCAGTGGACAGGGATACTCACTATTGGGCCGAGTCATTAAGCTGGTATTCCCGGGAGCGGTTGAAGCATTCCTGGATGCCGGAGTCCGCCCAGAGTCTCATCATAGCCGACAGCAGCTCTGGAGAGAAGGGCTCTGTGTCCTCCATCCGACTTACAACGTCGCAGACCATCTTGGCATCAGCCTGCAGAGGGAAGGAAGCAGAGGTGAGGGCGATGCAGGAGGCAGAGGTCTCGCCCAGAGTCCCCCCAACCATCAGCCTGTGTTTCTTAGGCTGGGACACTGGGATCCAGACCCTACGACCTAGCAGAGGGAGGAGGTTGCAGCAAGGAAGCGATAAGGAACCATGTCCTTGTGCAATGCGCAGCGGGTGAAAAATAATTTCTGTTCAACAGCTGAATCAGTCTGTGTTTGTCCCAAGCCTCTTTGGTAAGCAAAGGAAATTCAGAGGTGCACAGGTGCTTTTGGACMTGTTAGCAGTGATGGATGTCCTGCAAGGATTCCTGTTTTACTCCCTGTGTGACCTTATGGAAGTTGGGACCGTTTGTATCAGGAGGAGCAGGAGTGCTCCCGAAACAATCCCTTTCTGATGCTGGTTYGTTGCTTTTTCTGGTTTCCTGTTATTTCTTGCAAGCCTGTGTCTCTGCTGCAGGGGCTAGCTCGTGYTAATACGTAACACCTTGGCTGTCTGCAGCGCTTTGTGATTCAGATGAGGAGGAATCTCCTGTGGCTACAGAGTATGGCAGCCAGGCTAGGGCCAGCTGGTGATTTTTGGATGGATTTTTTTTTTTCCTTTTTTAGGGTCAGAAAAATCCGCTTCACTTGGAACAGGAACTTTTCATTCTGACCCAACTTGGGTCTGGGAGATGTCTCAGACTTGGGATGGGAGCGTCTAGACAGACTTGGAACAGGAATTGCTGAGTCCGGCCTCCCACTAACAGTCACCAGTGGCCGAGACGCTCAGTTGGAAGTGGTAGACCCAAATTCCTGCCCCTCCTCTGCGTAGTATGTAGGAAGTGGATCTGGGATCTGCCCGGCACCAAACTGCTACTACTGGAATCTGAAGCTGCTGGAGCTTTCAGCACTCCAGGAAAGTGCTTGAAGTCCTACCACATTAGGTCTTTATGGACTGAAGAAGTCTCAGTACTGTATGGGGACATAAAAGTTAATGGGGTGGAGCCTTTACATGTTGAAGACTTTATGAACCTAAAGCCTTTATCACAACAGACCTAACTTTATACTTTACTGTCCAGAAATCTCCTCGCTCTCTGTACAGGCTTGATATGGAGAAACAGGCCTGGTGACTCACGCCTCGGGGCCCAGGCGAAGGAGGGACCGTGCGGAGCTCGTTCCTGCCCGGAGAGCTGCGTCCTCTCCGTGAACACTCATAAATCCTCCGCGCTGGCCTCCCGCGCCGCTCACAAGCTGTGACTCTTCCTGCCTTTCCGCACATTTCAGCCAACACGGAGCCCGCAAGCGGCCGCTCTGCCCACGCGTTTGATGCGCGACCGGTGCCGCCCTGCGCTTGTGGCTCTTGCAAAGCCAGACCCTGGGCRTTCCCCGCACAATCCGCCCTGCAGCTCTTAATTTTACCCCTAACTCCTAATTTTATAGCYCAGAAACAATGAGGGAAATGAGCGTTTGAAGTGCCCCTGCTCTCCCCCRCGAGGACAAAGCCCCTCTGCCAAGGAGCGTGGGGCCGGCTGCGAGGTGCTGCCCGYGCGCCGCGATTTAACGAGCAATTAACGCTCCAAGGAGAGAAGATGCCCCTTTCTCTTCTTCCCCTGCGGGCTGCATCTCATGCTGGGCATGACATTAAAACCGCCAGCCCCCTCCGGGCCCAGCAGGTAGATTTTTGAAGCCGCCTGGTTGACTTTTGTGTCGCCTGCCCCCGGCCCTGGCGCTCGGAGGTGAGCGGAGCCGAGCGCCCCGCCGGCTCCGCTGGAGCAATTAGCCACGGCGGAGCAAACAAGGCCAGCCCGCGCCCTCCCGCCCCACGGGGCGCCCGGGGAGGAAGAGCACTGCGGTGTTCCAGCTACCTCGGGAGCTAAAAATAGGTGTCCGCCTGCACCGGGGCTGCCGGAGCCCTTGCGAGGGGCCGGAGCCTCGGGAGCTGCGGGGATCTGCGTTATTCCCGGCTGGAGCTGCATCCGCTCGGCTCCGTGTTGCTCCTGAGYGCCAAGCGCCTCCGTCTTCAGCGTGAGCTGAGGAGCTGGCCCTTGGCAGGGAGGAAAGCTGAGTGTGGGGATGGTGGGAGGGTGAATTRTGCTCTGGTGAATTATGCACCCTTTCACAAGTCAGACTTTTCAACAAGGATAACGGTGGGATCGAATCATACTGGCTACTTCTGTAGCTGTGAACCTTCTTTCCCTTTCTGCAACGCGTGTTCCGTAATATTCGCCGCCTGCTCGGGCACTGCCCTGGCTACCTCCCTTGTAAAAGTGCAAATCCTGTAGGAAGCAGCAAATCCCTGCCGCCCATCGCGCAGATCCAGGCCCAAAACCCCAAGAGGGCTGAGCGGGAAGCCCGTCCCCAAAYGGAGCCAACAAAGGAGGTGCAGAGCGGATCCCATTTTTCCATGGGCATTTCCATCAGAAGCATCCTGGTTTCACTGCAGGGGCCTCTCTCACTTGGTGATCTGGGACAAAAAYGTCTCCTGCGAGGACTAGGTGGACAGAAAAGAGCTTTCCCTCCATAATCCCATGGGGTTTCAGCTCCCTGGAGCATCGTGAAAGGCTTTGTTTACACTACAAAATGTTTTGTTTTCAATGTAGGTCAGTTTTCAAACAAAAACTCTCCTTCCAAACGTCAGGTTGGAAAAAATGAACAAAACCAAAACACTCTGGCCTTGCAAGAATGAAAAATTGTTTTGAAAGAGCCTCTAAATTTGCAAATAGTTTTTCCTTGGCCACGACTACCTGCAGCTTTTGTCTTGATTACAAAAACGTTTGCGATGGTAATATTTTTTTTAGCAGATGTTCCTATTCCCCAGGCATCTCTATCCAGGTCTAGTCATAAACCTTGCAGGGAGCTTGCTGCGAGGAGGAGGCCCGGCACGACGGCGGCGCTTTGCAGAGCGGAGCTTTACCCACCAAACGTCAGCACTTGCGCAGTGCCTCGGCCGACGGAGGTTGCATAACCCGCTTGTTGTTGGTCCCCAGGTGCTCAGGGCAGCGCTGTGGTGCTCAGGGCACCTCGGGAGCCGACGTGACCGCCCAGGGGGAGGACGGAACGAGGCGCAGGGGGCTCAGCGGAGCCCTCGGCCACCGGGGCTCGTGGGGACCGGCCCTCGCGGCTCCTCTGCAGCAGGTCCCAGGTCTCGTCTCGAGCCCCGTGGCAGGAGCCAGCTCTTGTGAAGCGCTTTGCATGGCGTGGATGGGACCCCAGGGGAGGCACTAGGTGCCAGGCTGCTCCCYGAGGGAGCCCAGGGCAGGGAGGTTTCTTTCCGACGGCGTCGGAAGCGCAGAGAAACAGGCTGGGCGCCCCACAGAAACCTTTGAAGCTTCCCTCTGTATATATTATTTATTCTCCCGGCACAAATATAGCATCAAAGGGTGGTGGGCGCAGGCAGCCCCTGGATTACCCGTCTCCGTTATGCCGCATAGCACCGATGGGCACCGGCAGGGAGCAAGAGCCAGGCGCCCCGGGCGGCTCCGGGCTCCGCGGCGGGAGCAGCAGCTCCAGGAGCGCCGGAGGCCGCGGCCTCCGCTCCCACGGGGAGGCTTCCTGCGCTGGCCGCGCGCCAGCCGCCCCGCTGTGCGGCCCGAGAAAGCAGCCGCCGAGGGCGGCGGAGCAGCCGGAGCAGCGCCAGGAACGCGGAGCATCCGAGGGGCTGCGTCTCCCCGGCAACGCCCCGTCTCCCGGCTGGAGCGGAGCCRGCGGGAATGAATAGGGCGGCGAGCGGAGCGGGATGGGGGCGGCCAGGGGTGCCCGGTGCGGCGGCAGCGCCAAGGCGAAGGCGGCTCCTTGGAGCGAGGTCGCGGCGTGCCGGGATTCGCACAGCACCGCGGGCCTCCCGCCGCTCTCCCCGGAGCCTCGTCCTGCCCAGGAGCTGCTCGGCCGCCCACGTCCCCATGTGGAAGCCTCTCCTTGGTTGATGCCCCACGGGCGGCACTGGGAGCGGCTGCTGCTCCCACTGATCCTGGTGCCACGGAGCACTGGGCTCAGGACTCTGCTGCCTCTGTCCCCAGCGTCTCTCCTGGGAATTCCTCTGACGTCCCCCACAGCGGAGCGTGACGGGAATTCGGCCCGCACTTCCCTCTGCCTCCATGCAGCATCACCCAGYGCAGGGCCGGCAGCTCCGGAGGCGCCCGCGCCCGCCCGGCGCTTCCCGTGGAAGCAGGGTGGGAGGCTCCCGTCCCCTTGCCCGTCCCGYGCCCCTTGCTCCATTCCCACGGAGCAGCAAAGCCTCCCGCGGCACCTCCGGCCACGGCGGCGGTGCCTTTGAAGTGCCCTTTTCCCACCTCCCGTTGAAGCTCTGCCGGTCTCGCTGCCGCTTTCCGGGAGCCGCGTTCAAAGCGGCGCCCRGCGGCTCCTGCCACGGCGGCTCCCTGCTCAGGACACGGCTGGGACCAGGTCCTGGCGACACCGATTTGCACCAGGCCTGGGTCGGCCTCCATTCTGGCTGGAATTTCCTGAGGCCGCCCTCCCACCCCTTCATTTTTACCACTGCCATTAAGTATTTAGAGCATAAAAATGACTAGTTTGTCTCGCCACCGCCGCTACGTCTTGAGGCCCCTGCAAGTTATTCGCCACCGACAGCCCAGGTTGTTTCATAAGGAGATCCTCCGTTTCCGGAGTGCTTCTTATCCCAAATAACTCAATGCAAACTGCTCATTCCTGGCGGAGCCATCGCTGCGCGGCCGCCCGGGAGGCCGGGATTAACGGCAGGGGCTGATTCCCGGCGCCGGGCACCGTGCTGGGCAGATTAGGAGGGGAGGCGGAGAGGCTGCTTCGCCAAACGAGCAACACCGCGTTATCTGTTTCAGCTGGAGCTGCTCCGGGGCTCGAGGCATTTCTGGAGCTCGCGGACACCGCAAGGAATATTGAAGGAGGCAGGGAGTGATCGGCACGCTTTGGAGCCCGGCTGTCGACGCGGCTCCGCTCGCACCGAGGGGCCACGAGCCCCTCACGTCTCGCCTGGTGGCACCCAACGCTCTGCTGAAGCCCTATGAGCTGCCCAGC